TGGAAAAATAGAATTTAAAATACTAACAATAAAATAAATTTAAAATTTCATAACTAAGAGGGAGGTAAAATTTCATAAGAGAGATAACTAATTTACGTATATCTCTTATGAAATTTTATGGTATTATTTTTATTTATTATTAATTTTTATATATCAGTTATGAACAATTTTCATAATTGAAATAATATAAAAATAATACCATAACATTTCATAAATAAGATAGGTACCTAATAATTATAATTTAATGAAATGTTATTTTTAATGTATTAATTTTAATTTTCCATATTTGTAATATTAATTGTTTTGTTTCCGTCCCTAGAATTGAAACTAAAAAAAAGAAAAGCTAATAATTGTAGTATGTCTCTCAGTGAAAAACAATAAATTAATTATATTTAAAAAAAAAAAATTAATGATGCACATGGCGAAATTTGAAACGAATTAATTTTTTTTGCAATGTAAACGAATAAAATTTTTGGCAATGTAAACAGACTACGGAGAGTGTATTCAAAGAAAGATTATCCTGAATAATTGTGTTAAATAAAGATTTTATTTAGAAAATAACTTTCGACAACAATTATCTCCCCTCCTTAAACGCAGTAAACGACGTTTCGCGTAAGACCCGGCTGTGAACTTAGATCTAGGTACCCCTAGCGTTCTCATTATAGATTTTCATTAAAAACAAAAAAACAATTAGCATAGTAACAAACTGGATATGAGTTTTATATGTATGAAAAGCTTCTTCAATATTGGTTCACGGGTTTAGACGGCAACTTGATTCAGACAAACAGATATTGCCATTTATATATATATATATATATATATATATATATATATATATATATATATATATATATATATATTCAAGTATGTTTCATTGAATAATATAGCTATCGTGCGTCTATTTTTTTAATAATCCTTTCTAGAACTAGACGTGTCTATATTATTCAATGAAACATGCTTGAAATAAGATATGCTGCCTATACACACACACACACACACACACATATATATATATATATATATATATATATATATATATATATATATATATATATAAATAATGGAATAAAAAGGGGGCGATTTCTAAGGAACCTTTCAACCAACCTGGAACAAGGAAAACAATTTAAGTGGACTAAATGGGAGATTAAAACTAGCACACGATCAAAATATAAAACTGTAATATATATATATATATATATATATATGATGAAACTATAGTTTTCAGGTATGCTATATTTATGTGTGAATGTGTATGTAAATATAATAGTGGACACCGAGATCCACACCAGACGGCGATAGTCTGTTTCACGCTTCAACGCAATCTTACTAACCTGTGGATGGCGCTGAAGCATGAAAGTGACTATCGCTACTTGACTTCACTTTCCAGACACACACACACACACACCCGCGCACGCACACACACACACACACATATATATATATATATATATATATATATATATATATATATATATATATATATATATATATATGCTGAATCATAAATAATTCCGTTTTGTGTTCATCAACTTCATTCTTTAAGAAAATACTTTGTACAATTATATATTCACCGTACGTTTGCAGTGACTTGTTCTCACCTATCAGGCAGCTTTTCGACAGATTTTGATGGGAAAAGGATTTCGATGACGATTTGAATCATGTTTCCATTAGATAAGGTTGTCCCCATCAAATCGTTTTGCAGCGACCGAAAAAACGTAATAATGGGTTGTTGCAAGGTTAGTCGAATTGCGAGTTGGATAGAACAGACCAATTGTGCATTTTCCCCCGTTGTAAGCTGCTTTGCGTTATCATAAGAAAATCTTTTTTTTCCTTTAAATCACTGCCATGAAAGAAAATGTATGTTAATGTACTCTAAATTTATTTTTAATTGCTATGTATAAATACTAGTAAGGAAGATACATTCGTCATTACAGTTGCTTGTCAAAAATGAAAATTATTTACGATTGAAACTAATAAAAAAATTATATTTTCTCTTTAAAACACATTCTACGGTTTATCACTATATGGTCAGTTTTTTGTTGATTAATATTGAATATTTTGGAGTTTCATTTTCGAAAATCGATTTTACTTCATCTAAGTTTTTAAACTATACTGTCAAAAAAGAGTCAACCATAACAGTAGGATCATAAAATGCGAACAACACAAAACCCTTTTTTGTTTCGCCGAACTCTAGAACGAATCATCTGATAAAAAGACATCTTCCCAGTATAATGAATATTTTTAGATAATTTAAAAAATCTACCAAACAAGAAAAATATCAATTGTTTATAATTGAAGACATTGCTGTTCAGACTTAGCGTAATAATTTATTATTATTATTATTATTATTATTATTATTATTATTATTATTATTTATTGATAGTAATATTATTTTCTGATAATAAAATTATATTTAGAGATAATAATGATAGTACATTTATTGATAATAAAACTACGATTTATTGATATTAATAATAATGATGATAATAATAATAATAATAATTATTATTATTATTACTATTATTATTATTATAACATTATGTATTTATACTTATAATAACAATAAATAAACTCAAAGAAACATCTAATCTACATGAGCCATCACTGTTACTGAAAATGAGGAAGCTGATACTGTCTGGAGAATGCCAATTCAAACTGATAAAGAAATTAAGACTAACAGACATGATATAGAAGTGAAGAAAATGGAAAGAACTTGCTCATCAACATGCCTCCCTCCACACACATATAGCGAAAAAATCATCTCGTTTGAAAACTAAATAAAGAAAACTTCTTCAAATATAAAAATCAAGACATCGAAACTAAGGGAAGGTCGGGTATGAAGACCATAACAAAAGCAATGGTAAACGGGTTCTTTCAACCTGGTTAAGAATGGGATGGAATAATGCACCAACAAAATCCTTGACAGTATCAAAATAAAAGAAGTTTAGAATATCTTCATCTTCGGAAATGCTCATAAATTAAGGAGGAATCGATTCACCAAATAGATCCATCACACCGATCAAGTTTTTTTGCAACAGTCGAAAAAGCTCATAATCGGTTGACGTAAGGTCAAGCAAATATGACAAATGCCGTAGTAAAAGCCAAAACTATTCTTATATGCGACCTTGTGTTTTCATAGAAGAGAACAATATTTTTCTTTTAATCCACTGTGTACGCTGCCACTGGACTTCAAAATTAAGGTATATTAGTATATTATATTATTAGTATATCATTATACATTTATTCATAACTGCTATGTATTATTAGTAGTTAAGGTGATGCAATCATTACAATAGCTTATCAAAATGGAAATTACTTATGACTCAATCTTATATACATACATATATATGTATATATGTGTATGTGTGTGTAAACACACATAACGATATTTTAATTCATTTTTAATTGTTATTTATAATGCTAATTACGGTCTATTTTTAATATATTACTATTATTATCATGTTTTAATAAGCACAAGTAATCTGCCTTTAAATATATAAAGTCAAAAAAATTATAATATGAATATTCCCCCTCAAATATATAATTTTTTAGTTTTCTTTTTTTTTACATACAGATATAAATCACGCTTATTGCCTAATATAATTTTCACAATTAAAAAAAAACTATTGTCCCAGCATATTATATAACTACACAAACATTGTGATAGCCAGATATATTATAATTCAAAATTGTGAAATGCTCAGTTCATACTAAGCACCTGAAGATTGCGTCGTGCATGAGACTCAGTGTCGTGGTAGCGGTAAGGGATATATATATATATATATATATATATATATATATATATATATATATATATATATATATATATATATATGCATGCCACATTCTGGCCAGAGAAGCATCAATTCTTATAAATTCCTAGTATCATTATTCAGGAATTGAATAATTTTCCTGGCTTTCTAAAATCTTAATTCCTCCTTTCAGTTAAAGTCTGTGCCTTACCAAAAAAATCGCTATTTATTCGATCACTTATTCGAGAAATTTGTTCCTATTTTCACATTTTGGGACAGCTCATAAAACAAGGAATTTTACATGGAGAGAAACAGATGATGAAAACAAGATTTTTACATGGAGAGAAACGAATATTCAACAACATGTGCACACGTCACATATAAATGGAATGTGTGTCCATACTATTAAATATTCATCTTGCTTTCGCGATCCTTTGCTGCGTCGAATTTATATAACATGAGGAGTGGAGCTTTCATATAATACAATCATTATTAGTTTTCCTGTTCTATTAAAACGAATGTACGGATGGTGTAATGAATAGCGGTTTAGAATGTGAAATTGGAGTCCCGAGTTCGAATTCCAGTTGAATTTGTTACATTATTCACTTAAACGCAAAATCTTTAGGAAGCTTGTAATTGCATCTTCTTCCCCACCTGTAGGTTAAGTAGGTATTGAAAAAAAATATTGCTATTCTCAAAATATTGTTAATGCAATAAGAGGGTGCACTGAAAATATTATTGGCTTTCTATGAAGATGTGATGCTAGAAATGTGAAACAATGAGATGCCAAATTCTGTCCATTTTCAAGTGAAGTTGCTATTTGTTACTTTTTTAAGTTTTCATTGAACAGTCAGGTGTGAGTTTACATGGAAATAAACAATGCAGTTCTAAATAGGAAGAGTTGAAATTGATGCATGCAAAATTTCACAGTTCTAGCATCACTCCTTGATAGACCGCATATGAACTTTTCAGCCGACCACCGTGTTCCCTTACAAAAAATAATTATTCTTACAATTCAAAATATGTTACTGCTTTAAATAACACACAAGAAGGGTTGATAAGCCGTAAAAGAACAAATCAATACTTAATAAAAAGTTTCTTGTTTCAGTTTACACAAATTAAGTGATAATTTTGTGTAAGCAACATTTTGTTTTTTCAAGAGAACAGAAAATCATTTATTTTGCAAAGTGAACAATTATTAGTGAATAATTATAATTTCCTTTCTATATTCTGTAAAAAAAGGATTTTATGGAAATTCCCTTGACTGAAATGACGAGACCGTTTCTTTTATCGTCTCGGGAATGCCATAATGCAAAATTATTTCTTCTTCTTCTTCTTCTTCTTCTTCTTCCTCCTCCTCCTCCTCCTCCTCCTCTTCTTCTTCTTCTTCTTCTTCTTTTTCTTCCTCCTCCCCTCTTCCTCTTCTTCTTCTTTTTCTTCTTCTTCTTACTCCTCTTCTTCCTCTTCTTCTTCTTCTTTCTTCTTCTTCCTCCTCCCCCTCTTCTTCTTCTTCTCCTCTTCCTCCTACTCCTCCCCCTCTTCTTCTTTTTCTTCTTTTTCTTCTTCTTAATCCCTGTTCTACTAACCACTTTCACAAACTCGCAGTTTTCCTTTGTTCCTTTTGCCTCCAATATATCTTGTGTATGTCAAATTCTCCACGCCCACTTTCCTCATCATGCGCCCTAGATATTTCAACCGTTTTTTTTTTTCTGATCCCAAATAGAAATGTCTTTTTTCTGTCTGTTTTTCTTAAAAATTCGCTGTTATTCACATGTTCATTCCATGGTATTCTCAGCATCCTTCTGTAGAACCACATCTCTGTTACCTCAAGTATCTTCTTCATTTTTGTGATGCGATTATCAAACATTCACTGCCATAATAAATTCAACATTCTATTTCTAACTGTTTCTTAATTCATTAGTTAACTTTTGAACGATAACTTTCTGGTGAACTTTCTTCTTTAAGAATTTAAACGTGCTACTATATTGGCGGCAAAGTCTCATCATTTTACAATTGAAATGTCAAGATGTAACCGTAAGTTCTATGCTAACAGTTCCTTTTCTTGCACTTCGCACTTATGGAACTCTCTACCAGCTTCTTGCCTTACAGTCAAGTTTGTTCTTCAAACATTTAAATACAATGTCTATAGTTATCTTCTGTCTTCTTAATCCTTGTTTTTTTTTTTCATTGTTCTCTCTCCCTAATCATGTTTTCTTTTTTCTCGTAGTCTCTCACACTCAGTAACTCCTTGCGTCTTAGTGGATTTACTGCCTTTCTTCGGGTAAAATGATTAAGAAAAAGCTTTCGCTATTGCAATGCAGCTTCAAATTTCGGTGTCATTAATGTATATTCTTTCAAATTTTTTTTTTAATCTGAGGACTTAGCTGCCTAAGACACAGGGCTGAGGAAACAGTGGTTTCCCCTACAATGGGATACCCAATCTCAAACCATGTTGGAGTGCATATTATCTTTATTATGATTGTCAAATGCACAGAAAGGTAGATTTGATTCATAAAGCACTGAAATTTTTACCCCTCTACAAAATTTGAAAAGGTATTTTACTTGTTTTACTAGTCCTGAATATCTTCATCTTTTCAAAAAAAGAATACATTGGTATTTTTCTTGTGCTAAGCCTTGTCGATTCAAATGGACCTATTGACAGCCGTATTTTTCTCCTTTCTGAACCTTTAATAGTAAAAGGATAAAATTCACAGTTCTAGACTATTCTACAATTTACTGCATAAGAAATGATCGTAATTATTGTCTTTCGGGTGTAAAATGGAGGACTTTCTTCTCTACAGTTATCAAGCCATAGCCTTGTTTCATATAGACCACTATTAATCCGAATATCAGGAGACTATAAAGTAAGGCTTCTTCCAAAGCCAATAATTCAGTTGTTCTCGCTAACTTTGTGCAGTAAAACATTTTGATGATAAAGAATTCTTTTTTAATCCCAGAAGAAAAATTAAAGGTTTTTTTTTAAATCCTCAAGGGACATGGTTTTCGTTATTTTGCTACAGTTCTTTGTTTGCGTTTCTGTGCTTCAGTGGAATCCTGGAAGACCCATCTGATTCATTCGATGGAAGCCATTTTTAATTGTTGCTCTTAGAATGCGGTTGTATACAGCTGATAGTTTAGATACATCTGAACGAAGATAATCGCAATATCGATCAATAATTTTCTCCTTTCTCCCTTTGAAAACTATTTTCTGGATTTCGTGGATTACATACTCTCATAATGAGACGAATTATTCAGTCTAGTGCTTTTCTTTGTGAACAGATGGAGAAAGCACTCGTTGAAACTTAGTGAGTAAAACAAGAAAGGAAATGATTCAAATTCTAAATAATATATTGAATAATAAAAAAAAAATATCCGTCATTTTTTAACATTTTTTACGAAAATGGCTCCGCAGATTTTATAAGTATTTTACTAAATTCTAAAAGGTGGCTGTGAATAGCAATGCAAACGCATCATTCATGAAGTAACCTAATTTTTAGCCAACAATGCTCTATTTTCCGACGTATCGGCTTGTACGTGCGAATATCTATTTTCTGGTATTTATTCATTTATTTCAGTCCTGATTTACTGGGCGGTTATATGTCGGGTAAATAACGGTTTCTCTTCGATTTCATCGCCATATTTTTCTTTTTACTTCCTTCTTTATACAGTGTAACCCGGATATAAGAGAGTTATCGGGACCGGAGACGAAGTCTCTTATATCCGGGTTTCTTTTATATCCGGGTTTGGTTTATTTTATATACATTAACACAGGCTCTAATTTGGGACCAGAGAAAATCTCTCTTATGTCCGGGTTTCTCTTATATCCGGGTTTCTCTTATATCCGGGTTTCTCTTATATCCGGGTTTCTCTTATATCCGGTTTACACTGTATCTTTTTCTTCTCGCTTGTTTTTTTTTTCTTCCTCTACGTCTTTATTTTAGCATTTCTTCTCGTCTTCTTTATTTGCCCGTTTTTTTCTTCTGGAAAACTCAGAAGTGTAAATCATTGACTTAACATAACTCAGTTCGTTGCAAAAAGGAAAAGAATTCCTGTTATTTGGTCCATTTTCGTCCACGTCTTCGTCTTTGTCTCCTACACTTTCCTTTTCATTTTCGACCGTTTTCTTTTTTCTATCTTTTCCTTTCAGCTGATTACCTATCGGAAAAAATATAAGAAATATCTCCATCCCTCTTTTGGCTTTTCCTTTATACTCTCCACCATTACCCACGAATACCTCGATGCCTTCCACCAGTGTCCGCTACTAATAGGTATTTATCCCCTCTACCTATACATCTTCCCTGTTTCTCCGTCCGACCGACTCGCCTCTCGGTTTCCGGTAGGTACGATTTCTGTTTTCCTGTTTCTTTCTCCAAATTACACCCCGAAGCACTGTTTCTTCCTTTCATCCTTTTCTTTTACTTAAACATCTCTCTCTCTCTCTCTCTCTTTCTCTCTCTCTCTCTCTCTGCATTTCTTCCTTTCTCATTATCCCATATTCTCTTTCTTTCTTTAGTTCCATCTGCCTTCTTTATTCAATTTTTATTTCACTTCTTTTATCTCTTTATAAAGAAAGAAAGAAAGAAATTTCTCTCTCTCTGTCTCTCTCTCTCTGTCTCTCTCTCTGTCTCTCTCTCTCTGTCTCTCTCTCTCTCTCTCTCTCTCTCTCTCTCTCTCTCTCTCTCTCTCTCTCTCTCTCTTGGCGTTTCTTCCTTTCTCATTATCCCACTTTCTCTTTCTTTCTTTAGTTCCATCTGCCTTCTTTATTAAATTTTTATTTCACTTCTTTTATCTCTTTATAAAGAAAGAAAGAAAGAAAGAAAGAAAGAAAGAAATTTCTCTCTCTCTCTCTCTCTCTCTCTCTCTCTCTCTCTCTCTCTCTCTCCGGGCGTTTCTCCCTTTCTCATTATCCCACTTTCTCTTTCTTTCTTTAGTTCCATCTGCCTTCTTTATTCAATTTTTATTTCACTTCTTTTATCTTTTTAGAAAGAAAGAAAGAAATTTCTTTTTTCTCCTCTTCGTTTTTTTTTTATTTTGCTTTATTTACTTCTTTATTTCTTTCTCCTTTTCGGCACACTCTCACAATGTTTTATTCATTCAGCTTTTTTTTTTTTCATTTTCATCTTTTACCTTATCCGAATTTTTCTTATAGCCTGAAGACAAAATAATAGCATAATCATGATTTTGACGTTCCACACTACTTCAACCAATATTTTAGGAAGGAAATCCCTATGAAAGAGCCCTAAGAATAAAGTGTCACTACCGACACTTGAGTTTGAACATAGATCGCCAGTCATCAAATACAGGCGATTCCATTATTGAATTAAGTGGATCACATGACCATGAGAGAAACGCATAAGTAGAAAGTAGCGTGTTGTCTAAACAATCACTATTTCTACTCTATCCTCTATTAATATTCGGATCATCATTTCTATTCTATCCTCTATTAATATTCGGATCAACATTTCTATTCTATCCTCTATTACTATTCGGATCGCTATTTCTACTCTATCCTCTATTATTATACGGATCGCTATTCTCTACTATTCACTATACTATTTCTCTATTAGGGTCTCTATACGGGTTAATTTTCTAGTGAGTATTATCGAGCAAGTACTATTAGTGCGGGTGCTGTTCGAAGGCGTCTAACACCAGTATTGATCAACGGCGTACTATAGTTGTATCTGCGATTAAAAAGTCTCTACTACAACGAGTATTAAATGTTCGTTAACATCACAACAGTTAGTGAACTTGAGAAAACTATCATCCTGAGAAATTGTTTTAATCGAAAGATTTTATAAATTCCAACCACTAGTTTCAGAAGCAATTCAGTCAATGAATGCCGAGTGTTTCCTTATAAGGAAATGGCTAATATTATCATTATATACAATTAATCCCCATTTTTAAATACGTCCCCATCATCTTTCTTTTCAGAACTGGTGCTACTTGTTAGACTTTGATTTTTAAAATTTATTGGCCTAATTCCGGTTTATGAGTTTATGAAAAATTCATCGATATTTTCTGTTCTGAACACAAATCAAACAAAAAAAGATTTCTGATTCCATTCCTAGGAAAATGACACAAACTTTCCTTAATGAAGCAAAATTTATCCCAACCTATAAAGATGCATTTTTAAAACCTAATTGTATATTTATTCTTTAGCAAAACTTATCTCTCGACAACACACATTTGAAAAGCCGGTTGTATTGTTTTATTTATATAAGGCAAGATACTAGATGTGCTCTTCATGATTTCAAAACTCAACCCTGTCGTCGTCGCAATATTTGTTTCCCTCTCGCACGCACAATGAAGAAATTGAAAAGCATTCTAAAAATAATCAGAACAAGCCATAAATCTAGTCTTCGGATTATCTTTTGCCTTGGTCAGCTTTCTTTTCATTTTTAGTGAAAGGACAAAAAAAACACACGCTGATTTAAAAAGAATACTCGATTAAAAAAACGTGTTTTAGATAGTATTCTTCATCAAATAAAGGCATTTCAGATTTAAATCATTATTAAATACTATTATTTCTTTTTTCTCAATTTCAGTTTCTTTACATCCCAACTACGCGGGCTGTTACTCTGGATCATTAGTAAACAGCGTCGATTGACAAAAGAAAAAAAAAAATAAACCATTCAATAATGCTCGAAAGCGCTCCCTTTCTCCTCAAAACCTAACCTACGCTGTAGTGCAGAAGTCAATTGAATGTTATGCACTAACTAGAGCTTATTTTGCATGCAAAAATAAGCATAAGCAGATAAATACTATTCTATTGTTACTGCAGAAGCATATCTAATTTAAATCTTTAATTGCTTGTTGTAATCTATTCAGCTACCTGGTTTAAATCAGATAGTGCTATGGATGACGTAATCAAAGGACGTGTCGTATAAAGTAATTCATAATAGACACAACGCGTCGCTGATTCATGTGACTAAGGATTCACTTTAATACAGATCTGGAAAATAAACATACCTATAAATGCGGCCAGTAGATTCAGATTTTCGAGTGTTCACCGAGATGTGTTACAACTCCTAATGCTGGAAATGATCAGGTTTGAAATTAAAAAACTTCGTACCTTATTCTATGCAGGCGATTCGAATTAAGTAAACGTTTGCCCATCTTCCTTCATTCTATTGCCAAATAAAAATGAAGACTGAAACTATAATACACATAGTTTTCTTCTGCAACTGTCGTTACGCACAAACTATTGAACAGCTTGAATATACTGCATTTGATATGCGACCATTAAAATTACACTTCGGCATATAAACTGTCGATAATCTAATAACGCACAATATTACACTGACGTGCCAAAAGTCATAAAAGAAATGCTTTGTATCGCATAGGTCTTCTTTTAGCCCTACGAAGTACCGCAATTTGACCTAGCATCGATTCAACAAGTGGATGAAAGACCTCTACTGATATATTGCGTACTGTCATTTCAATAGCTGTCAGATTATCTTAAAAGTAACCTTCTGTAACCTTTCTCTTTTCACATCCTATAAATGACCGACATCTTCCACCAAGTGTTCCAAAAATTAGGAATCAAGATAATATTTTACAAAACATAAACTATGATCTGGAATTAGAATGAAAGCAATGAAGACACCTAACCTGAATCCACCATAAAAATTCAGGAGGTGGAATACCAAACACTTCAAATACCTCGGCCTATGGATCAGTTATAGCAAATTTAATACAGCAAAAAAGGAAATTAAAAGTAGAATATGCTGGAAACTCGAGTTATGTTCTTAAATATGGATGTCATGCATCATGCCAAATCCGTTCAGAAATATCTAAACTGTCAGCCTTATACAACTACTTTTTCAGATCAATGTTTAAAATGGCTTTTAACGAGTGAAGACTGTGCACAAAGCCTGTGCACTAGCACTACATAATCACAAAGAACTGTAGCAAATAACAGAGGACATTCAACAGCAGGAAAAGCTAAAATGAATATCACATGGAACTTAAGGAGAAAATCATGAAATAATCAAAATGTTGATGTTCCACACTGTTACAGTTTTTTTGTGTATATATAGATATAACTAGTGAGCCAGTCAAAATGACTTGACTCACTTTATAGTCCACCAATAGAAGGTTAACCAATCAGAAGACGTAGAATATTCAATCCGCCGTGTATAAAGGCGGCCATTTTGTCTACTCTACCCGAATGTCCAGTTCCAGCTTGTCAGGCGAAGAGAAACAGAAGGACAAACTACGCTCTGCTACTTTTACCAAAATATCCACTGCTAACCTGAACAACGCTTTCCTACTGTCTTCAAAATATTCACTGCTAACCTCTGGATTCTGTACGACCGTCATCATGAACAACACATACTACTTCAAATAAAAGGTTAGTAAGGAAAACTCAATCAATACTGGAAAGGGCAATAACAGCTACTGGACTTTAAAAACCTATTTTCCCGAAAAATTACTTTCACCAATCGTTGATGAACGGATATTCCCTCAGGGAAGCCCCGTACCTTGAGCCCTCATTGGGACTTAAACTCAACGCAGATCTTAAGTGAAACTCGTACATACGATCCATTGCTAAAGATGCTGCAAAAATGGTCTGTTCCCTATACCATTCCAGCAATTACCTCATTCCTCCTTCTATCCTCTACCTTTACAAGAGCTAGAAAACGGAGCATTGCTGCCATATATGGACCGGAGCTGCCCAGTCTTCAGTTTCCACTTTCGAGTAAAGTCCAAAAGAATCTCCACGTCCTTGTGGGCGACGAATTATTTTCCACTCTTCAACCCCTTTCTCACAAACGAATGGTGGCAAGCCTCTCGCTGCTCTATCGCTATTTCTATGATGAGTGTTCAAATGAACAACACTCCTTAGTTCCACCAGTTTTAACCTTTACGGCTAAGACCCACCATGCCACTCACATTATGGCGAACCACCTTCATTCTATTCATATTCTCCTAGGGAGATGTAAGTTCCACTCAGGCAGGTTTTTCCCATAAACTACTGACTTGTGGGACCGATTCCAATGAGGCTGCTTCTCTGATCATTACAATCTTAACCTGTTCAAGTCCAGGGTTAAACTTTATTTTCCACACATATCCGAATAAGCTGTACCTTTTAATCTGTAAATTTCAACCTCGAGTGGCGCTAGAGCGTTGTACAAGGCGAACAGTATTGTAAAAAAAAGATCTTGTTGCCAGTCCTCCATGCTCCGGTAAAGGATATTATAGGCCCAAATGAGATCCTGTTTTCTGGTATCGGTCTGTTAACAAGAGAACCTTGATGGGTCTTCCATCTCTCATGGAACTTAAAGAAGACTTAAGTGACTTGCTGGTTATGCCTCTGGAACCCGATGTAGATTTGATCTGGGCTAGTGTCTGTTGCCGTAGACAAATCTGACGAGATACCTCTGGTCATGATCATTAACTACCTGTGGTTATTCACTGCGCCTTATATCTGGTATTGTCTGTACACAAAGTAACACCGTAGATCGATAGATATCAAATGTTCCCTAAACTATCTCACTATCATGCCTCTTCAAACTTCCATAATTCAAATCGCCTTGCCATGAGGAATTTTACAAAGACTCAACAGACTAAAAATGATATAGGTTTAGACATTTCTATGACGTAGAAGTATTGCGGCTCCACCAACCATTACATTTACATGCTATTTTATCCGTGACTTTTGGCACGCCAGTGTACTTTAAAATTTTTCTTTTGATTATTCATGAAAATTATTATTTTATATTAACAAAGAAACCACTAATTCTCATCTAATAAAGCTGTGCTTTAATAACTGCTATGTAAAGTTTGCGTTTGATTATATGCTGTGTTCGATCATCTCATTTTTGTTACATAGCAAATTGTACACAGGAATACAGTGCTGTTTGTTCGTTTGACTTTTGCGGAAGTCACACATTAATTCTACTAACATAGTTAAAATGATTTTCAAAGCTTGATATGGATATTCTGAGTATTATAGTGATCTCTTGGATTGTATAACATTGCTTTTTCTCAAGTACATCTATAGTGGATTGTTATCAACCTCAGGTGATTAGCTTGACAGCGGAGCTACGTGAAATTTCTCATACCATTGTAGACATGCGCAATCATTCATGATACTTTTTTCCATGGACTGCACAAAGGGTTTTGTGCGTTTCGAATCGCCTTTTTACATTTTTTAAAATAAAATGCACGATACAAAATTGTTGAGTTATATTTTTTAATAAAAATTGGGAATAAAATTTTTTTTTTTTTTTTTTTTTACAAACAGCTTTTTTTTTTAAACAAAGATCAAATTATTACAGAATATGTAGGTTGGCCCAGAATGACAAAGTACTGGTCATAGCTTTGATGACTCGGACGGAATTGTATGGTTTGAACACCGTAGGCGTGGAATTATCAGAATAATGGATTGTCTTTATTTAACTTTTGATGTGTCGAAAAAGTCTCGAAGACACTGCAAGAGGATCAAGATGCCTCGCCGCACTCAGATGAGTCCCCTATTCGCTCTCTCTCTCTCTCTCTCTCTCTCTATCTATCTATCTATCTATCTCTCTCTATATATATATTTCTTTGAATGTAAATTATATGCTGCCTAATATTTTATGTTTATAAAAACTATCGATCCGCAGTACATGAAAATTCCTATAAAAAAAACTACTACTATGACATTACACTATATTATTGAACTATATGCTTAGTTCATGACATAAAAACTGAATACACTTGTAAAAATAGAATACGTGGATTTAACACATCACAAGAAACATTTAAATAAAATTCTCACTTAAAATTTTGAAAAACTTAGCATTGCGTCTTTGCACGTTCCGAGATCGTACACAACCGTCAATAATAGCAGATATTAAAAAAAAAACATCTTTCGGTCGACAAACAATTATTTCGTCTTCAAGTTTTTGATTTTATAAGGAAAAAAAAAACACATGCCTGATGATGAATAGAAGACTATTCGTAAGTACTAGCATTTTAAGAACACATAAAATGAAAACAACAGACATCAATTTTATAGACGAGGATCACTTCACTCTATGGATTAACAGTATTTTAATGCATACATTATACTACTAGCGATGGATGTCGCCAATAATCGCATTAATATTTCTGATTGATTCTATGTGTGATTATTTCTTTGAATATATATATATATATATATATATCTTTCTCTCTCTCTCTCTCTCTCTCTCTCTCTATCTATCTATCTATCTATCTATATATATATCTCCTAAAACCGATCCTACGATTAATGCCCCTCATAAAATAAAGAAACATTTTTTCTGTCTTTGATGCTGACCTGTGACCTCTTCCATCGACGATCTGTAAAGGTAAGTGTCCGTTTAATTTTTGTTTCGCTGTATCCTACTTGTCAACTTGAATAATTGGATGATTCGCTGAAATTGTCCAGAGCCTCGCATCAGAGTTTGAAAATATTAGCAATTAAAATAGTGGGTTTATAACACGGGTAGCAATGATATTTTACGCTCGTTGACTGATCGGAGGACCAAAACCTGAGGACAGCTCCACAAAAAAACAGAATCGCTTCCTACCTGTACGCACTAATTCGCGCGGCGATTCTTAAAATCATAAAAGTTTAGCGAACCAGTTGTTGAAAATAACCTTATATCTTAATAACCGATATATAACTAAAAATATGATTAATACCATTGCTTTAAGTTTTTCGGAGACTGAAAGGGGGGGTTTCTGTGATTAACATAATTTATTCTGACAAAAATTTCGCCTTGACGTTAAAAATGTGTCAAAAATTATGTAGTTATAAATTTGATAGGTCTTCTATTAAATCTTTGGGACTGCAGCAATTCAGTTCGAATGTGGCTAAGAAACCATAACATAGCTGAGACTAGATTAAAAAAAAGCATCATAGTTGTGAACAGAAATATGATGAGAACAGAATTTCAATTTGAAAATATCTTAATAAATAAATGTTTTCTATTAAATAACAAAATTATTTAATTATTTTTGATTCCATAAAACGTTTTGTTTCCATTCTCAGATTGAAAAGAAAATAAGTACAAAAGGTTGCTAAAGTTTACCTGTCTTTATAGAACCGATTCCTGAAAATTTGTCATGTCATTGGATACACTCCAAGATATCGAACAGCCCGTAGATAAATTGGGAGACACAAAAGTCAGCGCAGGTGATGTATTTTAAAAACATATTTTAACAAGTAATCGTTTTATAAAAATAAAACTAATTGTATACAAACATTCTAGCCCTAAATTAGATCAAATAATTTCATATTTCCCAAAATGCAAAAATACTGCAAGAAAAATAGAGGGGGCAAATCTTCAAATCTCCTAAGAATAATCAATATTAAGGGAAGAAATTTAAATTGACATACAACTATATATATATATATATATATATATATATATATATATATATCCGTTTCTTATAAATATATTAGCCTCCGTAATAACGTCAAGAAAGAATACTGATAATTCTGTTTCGCAATATATATATATATATATATATATATATATATATATATATATATATATATAAAAATAATAAAGTTAATTGGTAATCCGTATGGATAATTCTAAGGAGGATATAAATACAGACAGTATTAATTAATTAACAAATGATTTTTTTTAACCGCAAGGTCTGAGAAAGCGAAACCGAATTTTATCGGATCCGCGAAATATAAAATATTACCATGGCTTTCTGATGTCTTCAATTTATTAATTATATATATATAATATATATATATATATGAAGAAAGATATACTGAAAAAACAAACAAAAATCCTAACATGCGATTATGCTGTTTTAATGTTTAATGTCAACGTCGGACGTTTCGGTCTAATAGACCATCTTCAGGACATATTCATAAAACATAATTAACATAGACCATATACAATTCAACATCAAAAAGACGATGGACATATACGCAATACCAATCCAAACAGATAACTGAAATGAATATCAAAACAGCATAATCGCATGTGAGGATTTTGTTTGTTTTTTCAGTATATTTTTCTACACACTGTCGGATCTATATCCACATATTTGCTTACATATATATATATATATATGTGTGTTTGTGTGCGCGTGCGTGTGTATGATATATATAGACATATGATAAATATATATATATATATATATATATATATATATATAGTAAGAATATAGTTTTAGCTGTACAATATTCATGTGCAATTGTCTGCCTTTTTTGGATGTTTTTGTTGAACGCAGTAGAGGTGGTTTTATTACTAGCATTTATCGTAAACCCACCTTTACTGGACTTTATTTGAATTGGCGTTCATTTGCTCCTGCATCAAGGAAAATTAATCTCGTTAAAACCTTGGTGTATAGAGCGCTTAAAGTGTGTTCCCCTATTAGATTGGACCGTGAATTTGGGAACATTAGGGAGATTTTCCTTAGTAACGGCTATCCGGAGGCCCTTATTGACTACATTATAAGTAAGAAAACTAAGAATTTCATTCCCTAAAATCCAGGGCCTTCTAAATGTCCGGTTTATTTGAAGATTCCCTGGATTGGGGATAGTGGTCAGGGCTTAATTAATCAGGTTAGCAAGTTGGTTTCCGGTTGTTTCCCATCAGTTGCTTTTACGTAGCATTTTTCAAACTAGGTCTGCGTTTCCGTCTTTTCGCAAGGATGTATTGCCCTACATCAAATTGAGTAATTTAGTATATGAATTTAATTGCCAGTGTGCTGCTGGTTATGTGGGGCGTACAACCTTGCATTTGGAAACTAGAATTAATCAGCACGTTCCTTCCAAAATACGACTTAGTAAGATAGATAGAATATGCTATCTTCCCCCCATGAATATGGAATCGGCTATTGCTCAACATTTAGTTGAGAATATAGCTTGTGCCAAGTTGTATAAAAAAAAAGTGGTTTAGAATTATTCATACAGCTGATTCCAATAATCATTTGAAGATTTTGGAATCGGTCTGTATAGGATTTAGAAAACCTTCTCTCTGCCGGCAGAAAGAATTTATAAGGTCTCTAAATCTGTTGGGGATATTTTATTTTAACTGTCCCTCGCTATTTATTTACACGATAACCCTTCCCTCGTATATATACTTGTTCGTTATTTTAGTGTGTTTCCCCGTCTTTTTTGCTCTTCAATATCGCTATTATTCATTTCGCTGATCCAACGATTGTCTCCTGATGAGATGTTGGCTGAAAGGGCTCTAGAGACTTTTAATATTAAAATCAATGGTTTCCTAGTTTTTAAAACTATATATATATATATATATATATATATATATATATATGGGGGTGCGATGGATAAATTGTCGTCTCACTTACGCAAAAAGGAAAACCACACTATTAACAGATATACTTAACACTTAACAAAATAACAACATATCTTGAAATACTGAAGAGTAAATTTATTCAATGAAATCGCCATTGGCGTCAACCACGGCCTCTAAACGACTTCGGAATTTCCTGCAACTCTTTTGGACAGTCTCCTTGTTTAAGTTGGTGAAGACGGCCAAAATCTTGCCTTCAGTTCATCTTTGCTGTTACAAGGAGTTTTGTTGGTCTCTCGCTTAACTGTGCCCCGCACATATTAATCAAGGGAGTAGCAGTCTTAGGAGTTAGGTGGCCTTATATAATGGGTGTTGGGGTCACAGGAATTGTCCGAGAGCTATGATTGGTTTCTCCAGCTTATGTGTCATGGTGCAGAATCCTGCTGCTAGACATAGAGTCTTCCAGCAACCACCCTCTTGACAAGGGAAGCATTACCTCTTCAAGGAACTAGATGCAGGCCTCCATGTTGAGTCTGAGTCTCTCATCAACAGATTTGGGAGTTCTTTTCTTATCCGAATGATCAGCATGAGTTTTCCGAGCCGCTGTACCTTCGTAATCACCATTAGACTCATCCAACTCTTTCCGCAGTGTCCTCAGATTGACAACCAAACACTCTGAAATGTTGGTATTGGAGATTCCGGTCCGAATGCCAAGCAGAACAGCAAGCCGTTTCCAAATTTCTTGCGAAGTGAATTGCGCCAGGGTGTTCTTTTTCATGCAGACGGTGACCAACTGACTCTACTATATTGTGCAGCCAACAAAATAAAAAACAAACAACGCGCATGCGCGAAATTAAAAATATAAAATATCAACAATTTACCTATCGCACCCTATAAACCAGAAAATGTTAAGAAACTGAAAACATTTATAGTAATCTTTTCTTTCTTTTTCTGTCTTATTTATATATGCAAATGAACACTACAATATGATTTTTTATGATAAAATGGTCCCATATTTGCGTTGCTATTCAAAAAAAGTGACAAAAATGAATTCAAGAATATGAGCTATCGCCAAGAATACCAAATTCAAAGTAAAAACAAATGGAGCATTTATGAGGGACGGCATAAACGTTAATACACTATAGCTAGCTCGAAATAACGGCAAATTTCTTGTTGTTCTTCTTCGGAATGTGGATGACCATGGCTCTCCACAACTTCCTATCCTTCGTAGCTCCAATAATTATTTGTCGCCTTAGGATCCTTCCCAGTCCATGTTCTGGAATTTTCATTTCTCTTTTACCATTCCAGATTACCAGCA